CTTGTCATTATTTTTATGATAAAATTTATTTTCTGTAAAACTATTAAAAAATAAAAACTCGTTTTTTTAATCGAAGAAATAGCATTTTTCATTATAATTACAGTCCACAAAACTTTTATGTTTTTATAAACAATAGAAAAATAGTATTTTCATTATTAAAAATTTGGCAGACAGAAAATGCGGAAAATGCAAACAAATCCGGAAGAAGTATTCTTCTCGAATTTTTTACAAAATCAAATTCAATCAATTAGAAGATCATCAAAATAAATAAGTTGTCGACTACGCAATGTAGACTCAATGTTTAATGCTCAAATCTACAGTTGGAAGACTACAAATTGACATGAAGACATTTGCAAATATCACAAATTGACTGCTGTTCATTTTTGGGGGTTGGGAACAAAGTAGCTGAAGTATACAGGGTGTATCTTAAGTCTATGTCATAAATTAAGGGAGTGATTTCTTGGGTCATTTAAAGCTCAACAGCCTTAATAAACCAGGCCCCTAAAGTTAATGGTTTCCAAGATAGAGGGCGTTAAAGCTTTTGAAAAATATCACATTTTTCAATTCTCTGAAGTTGTTTGACGTAGACTGACGAATCTTGGGGATGATGTAACTAATTAAAAGTAATAATTCGGTATATTTCTACATAAATCTCTTAACCAGGGGAGCTTTGCCATTAAAACCCTCAGAAAAACTACGCCACTGGATTTTCAGAAAAATTAATGGGTGCGTTTAATTTACTGTCATATTTTTAATAAAAAAAGGTCTCTTTCATTTTCTTTACACAATAAACCATTTTCGAGTTATAATTTTTTTTGTTCATATTTTTAATAGTTTATTTACACCATTTTGCTGGTTTTGAATTATTATTTCTAAATGAGTGATTTTCAAATATAAAGTGCAACAAATGCTGCCTGAGAATTTTTATTCCCCGAGAAGTCGAAAGTGTACTACGGACGAGCACATAGAAATTTCAAAGGATGGTGCCAGAACAAAACAACTGGTGTTTCTGAAACATCACTGCTAGCATATTTCATGGAGAAATCAAGAACTTTAAAGTTACCGGCGGGTTTGTGGAGTGAATACTCAATGATTGAGTCAACTATTTTCATAGAGTAGAATGTGCATATATCAAAATACCCCAAAAGAATGACGGCTACACACCTAAAAAGTTAAACGTTTTTACAAGAAAACAAGTGAACGATTTTCTCGTTCAGGCACCCGATAACACACATTTGCTAATTAAGGTAGTGACGGTCTTAGGCATTGCAGGAGCATGCCGTTCTGATGAGTTATGCAAACTTACTTTGGACAACGCCAATTTCAAAAATTTCGATGACATTATTGTAGTTACAATTCCACATTCTAAAAATGGTGTGTCACGTACGTTTACAATTACTTCACGTCTGGGTTCTGTTTCTCACCTAGAAATTCTCAAGAAATATATCAAGATTAAATTGGAAATTAAATTTCACGCTTTTTTATGCGCATCAAGCAAATAGATGTTACAACCAACCAGTAGGCAAGAATACCCTTTCTATGATTCCTAATAAGATAGCACAGTTTTTTGAAACTAGAACATCCTGAAACTTATACAGGCCATTCATTCCGAAGAACAATGGCAACGTTATCTACTGGCTAATACAGGAGTTGATATATTAGCAACCAAGAGACATGCTGGGTGGAAATCAGCCACAATTGCAGAAAGTTAGTTGCTGGCACTTTAAGTAACAAAAATGAAATAGCCAACAGGATTCTTTACAATGACACTTCAACTCCAGGTTCTAGTAGTACGTCACATCATGATGTTTTAATGGATCAGTCGGATAATATTGAGCCTTCGGTGACTGAAATAGAGCGTCAAATCATTTTAAGAAAAATGTGACAATTGGTAAACGCGAGGGGAATAATTACGCAGGCCGACAATTTTCAGAACCAGAAACCGGACCTAGTGTGCCCGAAGGATTTTGGTGCGCGGGTTACGAATCCGAGCTGAGAATTGTTCCATCTCCCTAGGTTCTCGAGATATTCTAACCAAGTGCAAAAATCGCTGTTTTTCGCTATATTTGGGGTAAAATTACAACGTGAATTAATTTTTTTTCTAAAATCGCGTTAAACCATCTTAAAGCACCACTCTTACCCTTCTAAGCGCACTTATATTTTTTTGAAAATCTTTTTTTTTTCCATAGAGATATGATAGATTGAAGTTTAGTAGTACTAAACCTTAGTAAGGTTCAGCGCTCGCAGGTTACTGCGCATTTAGGTTAACCTGATGTAGGTTTAACCCTCGCTGGTTATTGCGCATTTAGGTTAACGTGTGGTAGGTTATAGCGCATTACGATGAACCTGTCATGAGCTTAGCATCCGAATGTAACAGTGTGTATACATAGGTATCTACTTAAAGGTTAGAAAATCTTGCAATATTGAGGTTATGGAGCAGGTCCGCCGGTGTTTTCAAATTCAGCGACTCAAGAAACATATAAGCACTTTATATCTCTTTTTTGGATAAATTTTGTTTATTTCCATGTTGTAACGAAACCGCTGAAGTACTAAACTTGAATCTATTATATCTCTAAATCGAATTGCGCTTAGAAGGGTAAGAATGATACTAAAGATGGTTTAACGCGATTTTAGAAAAAAAAATTAATTCACGTTGTAATCTGTGCAAAACCGTACTTATCTTATCAACTTCGACGTCACCTGTTACATGAGTGTTGCACAACAATGAAAAAGTAATATTAACGGTCGATAGAAGGAAGCACAAAAAACAGGCACTTAGGTAGGAAATTCTGGAAGGAAGCCTAAATAGTTGAAGATAGTCAGTTGAAGTGCGAACAGTGTGGAGATCGGCAGTAAGACGATCGGCGGGCAGTGTGTCAAAGTAGTGAAAAGTTAATTGGTTAAAGTGTCATTAGTTAGCAGGTAATATTCTTTAAGTACTTTGTTGTTAATTGTTCTGTGTAATCTTATGATTGTAATGTTTATAGATGTTTCATGATAATAATTCTTTGTATGTTTAGCTTCCGTCGCTTTATGCTCAAGGGCATATATTTTTCTAAGGTAAAATTGTTATACTGTTATATTATTAACGATTGCTCATTATTTATTTCATGTTAAAATATGTATATCGTCGTGGGCGCCCCCGACTTTACAATAATGACTCCTTTGTTTTACAGCTAACTTGTTTTTGTAATGATGACGTTGTTCGTAAAATATAGATGTCTCATGATAATAATTCTGTATATGTTTAACCTTCATTGTCTTACGCTTAGGGGCGTATATGTATTTCTCTAAGATAAAATTGTTACAATTATTATTATAGATTGCTCATTATTTATTACATGTTAAAATATGTATGTATATTGTCGTGACTGCCCAAATATTGCATTAACGACCTCTTTGTTTCACATTTAACTTGTTTTAAACAAGATCAGGTTGTTCTTTGATTTCTTGTGCTCACTTTATGTCGTACGTACGTATATTTTTCTAATATAAAATTGTTACAATTATTATTTAAGATTGTTCATTATTTATGACATGTTCAAATAAGTATTTTGTCGAGACCGCCCAGATAGTACAATAACGACTTCTTTATTTCACATTTAACTTGTTTTAAACAAGATCAGGTTGTTCTTTGATTTCTTGTGTCCACTTTATGTCACACGTCTATACGAGCCTTGTTGAGTTTACTAACATTTTCGCCCGTGCGGAACGAATCTGGATTAAGCTCGATTGCCTCCCGTATGGGACTCCAGTGTTATGAAGGATCTTCCGAAATCTCAACTATAGCTGGATTGCCCCCGGATGGGACTCCAGTACCTTCCGGCTCTGCCGGCTAACTAACACCAAACCTCTTCAGTTTTACTTGGAAGTGTGTATGACTAATATGAGGTAACAGATGACATTTAGTGACACATTAAATGAGACAGGTCTTATTTATCATTAGCAAAGGTTCTTAATTTATACCTTTGGTTAGCGGTTGTTTTGTATTTATATTTGGGTGGTAAGAGCAACGATTGTGGGTTTCTCTGCCATGCTCTTTCCCCGCAGGAGCTCTAGGTGAGCCTGGCACTCTCCTTTTATGTTTAATGGTTGTTAATGTTTTGTTGTTCTTTCTATTTGTCACATGTTTAATTTGAATTGTATGTAAATAAAGATTAGGTGTATTTACTCTGCTTTTGTTTTATATAATTAAACCATACATCCCCTCTACAAAGTTAGTAGCCAGTGCCTTCCGGTCAATTAAAAATGTCTACACACAACGTAGGGATTCCTTATGACGATCACATATTTTTGGCCACAACTACGTTTACTTATTTTTTGTCGAACCTAGGGTTGTTATATTCCAAATCTGAACTCGAATATAACGAAAAATCGCGATTTTTGCATTTTTAGGTTAGAATATCTCGAGAACTTAGGGTGATGGATCAATGTTACTAAATATAATAACAAACTGTACAATTACTAAAAATATTCATCCATAATAATTAATAAAATGTAATGTTCATCAAGTATTTCTATTTATTTATTCATAAAATACACTTATAACTCGAAATCGCTCTTTTCCCTAGGAAGGTAAGTTATCTCACTTACCCTCCGTTGTCCATAGCAACTTTCACTTCTACGGTAAAATCCACTTACCTCCTTAAAAACAATGTATTAATAGTCTATCTACTGTACTGGGAGCAGATAAAGTAATTTCTAATAGGTGTTTCATGGTTTAAAAAACGTAGAAATATTTCGGAGGTAAGAAAAGCGTACCGGTAAATCTGGTCAACAACACGAAATTAGAAACAGGTACTTTCAAGTTTTCCTCTCAAATCGACCCAGGCGAATTAAAAGTAAGAGCAGCAATCATCGGGCAATAGAAAAATAAACGAATCTAAAAAAATATCGCGTTTAATCTGGCAGAGACGGATCGCCGCCTTTCGTTATCGAGGAGAGGGATTTATTTTTACCCGCGGGTTAAAAAATGCACGTTAAAAATAGAATAGACTTACGCGATCTTAGATGGTCTGCCTGGAGGCTACGGCTTATGAAATATTGATATCGCACTCGGATAGGCCAAGGAACCACAGCGAAACCGTCTTGACAAGTCATAAACGGAAAACTAAGTCAAAGAATATTTTTAATATATCGGACAGGTATCAGGACTCTAAGTGGAAGGTAATTTCGATAAGAAAGATAACGCTTTACAGCCGGACGTGCGGTAATTCCCCCGGGTTTTACATTTTTTTAGAAAGGAAAAAAATTGAACCTATTCCAAATTTACACAGTTGTAGCACTATTAACTATAATGTCTACACTTCTGTTTCTTCACAAAACTCTAGAACTAATAACAAATAAATAGTTACAAAACTGACAAAAAAAAATAGTTATTTTTGTACCTAGAATGGGAAATGGTACCTTTGCGTTCAAGAATGGAAGTTATTTTGCCGAGCCTAGCCTAGCGAAAAGTAGAAAGTAGTAAAAGTAGTGTCAGAATTATACAGGGTCGGAAAATCCCCATGGTTCATCGGCCGTTACGTGAGAGAGATAAAGTAAGTGCGATAGAGAAGGATGGCTATAATGAAGGCGTCTCATAGTCACCGCCCGTTTCGCCCTTCCACAAATAAGATCCACTTCCACTTGTAATTCAGCGACCGGTGGTCATCTTTGTTTTCGTCGTTTGGCTTTTCTTTAATAGATGTCACTACTTATACAATTTCGACTTCGGTATTCCGATGTGTTAACAGAGGGCAGCACAACGCGTAACAAAGAAAACTTTTTATAGTAGCTATTAGAAACCTCTGTTTGTAAATCTAGTGACCTTGTTTCCCCTACTGAGAAGTTATTCAAATGGAGTATAGTGCTCAGCTGCAATTAAAGTTCATTTAGTTGTTATTTAAGTATACTTTTTAAAATGACTTAAAAATCCCAAGAAGTAAAGCAAAATTCCCTATTTCCCCAATTCCAAAAAAATCTGTAGATCTGGCATCACTCTTTCTAGGGCTGCACATCACCTTAGACAAATTGTACTTCTTATTTTGATCGCAGGCAATTGTGATAGCTCCATCTACACCGAATATTGGGACACCTCGTAGTTATAAAAAACGACTGATTAGAATTTGTGTCACACATAACCAGCAAATTGTAGTTAAAGTGTTATATACAGGGTGTTAAACGTGTGGTGAAAGTGTAACTCTAAATATGGTTTTCCTTTAATAACGAGCGTTCAAATAAAACCGTGGTCAAGTTGGTTCTGAAAATTTGGACGTAGGGCGTAGCCTATAGCAAATGAACTTAAACGTCATCTGTCAAAGCGCTATATCGCCGCTATCAATTTGAATATTTTCGTTTTAAAAAGCGTCTAAAATGGTGTTTTCTCAAGAACAAAAAGTGTTTATCATAGAGTCCTACTTTAGAAATGGACGCAAGATTGATGGAATATGGAAGTATTCTATTGAGGAATGTTTCATAGAATTTCAAAATCAATTTCCCGGCGTTGTTGAATACAAAATTTTTCAAAGTGCAGTTCAGCGTTGTGTTAATGTTTTTCGTGAAACGGGCAGTGTAACAAGAAAAGAAGGAAGCGGCCGACCTAAAAAGCGGACTGAAGAATTAAAAGAAAATGTCCAACAAATAATGGAAAATGCGCCAAGAACTTCAGTACGTGTTTTATCACAAATGGTGGGAGTATCAGTCGGTACCTGCCACACAGTGTTAAAAAAAGATTTGCGTTTGTTTTCCTATCGTTTAACTTGTCAGCAAGAACTTCATGAAGTTGATTTTCCGCGACGGGCTGTATTTTGTGAATGGTTTTTAAACAACTACGGTGAACTTCATAATATCACCTTTTTTTCTGATGAAGCCTGGTTTCATTTAAGTGGTTACGTAAACTCACAGAATATGAGAATGTGGTCTTCTGAAAAACCAGATAACTTTTTTGTCGAGGGCCCTCTACACGCTCAAAAAATTGGAGTTTGGTGTGCTCTCAATCGAAGGAGGATTTATGGACCTATTTTTTAAAATGGTACTCTTACTGCGCAAAGGTATAGAGAAGAAATTATCGCTCCTTTTGTTAACCAGCTGGAAGAAAACGAAATTACAAACTTTTACTTTCAACAAGATGGCGCAAGGGCACATACGGCAGGCGAGACGATGAATATGTTGAGGGAAGTTTTCCAAAATCGACTAATAAGTCTCAATGCTGAACATGAATTTCCACAGAGGTCATGTGATATTACGCCGTGTGATTTCTTTTTGTGGCTTTACCTTAAAAACACTATTTTTGAACTGCCTACTCCTGATTTAAATCATCTGCAGGCTCGACTTATAGACAAGATTCGTGAAATTAACAATACCCCGAGCATCTTAGAAAATGTCTTTAATTCTTTGAGGAACAGGTGTGAAAAGTGCTTGGAACAAGGAGGGAGACACTTTCAGCAGCTGCTTTAATTTATTGTTATAACAAGGAGGGGGACACTTTCCGCAGCTCCTTTAATTGTTTGTTATTTTTATCACGATTATTCTTTAAAATAAAGTTATATAGTCATTAACGTTATTGAAACTGACAGCTGCTATACAGCTCGTTGAGAAATGAGGTTAAGTTGGTCGCTATAAGCTACTCCCTACGTCCAATGTGTCAGAGCCAACTTCGACCACGTTTTTATTTTAACGCTCGTTATTTTCGAAACGTTTTAAGATACCGAAATAAAATTTTCCACATTTTTTAAACTTTTCATGTCTTATAATGTAAAATTAGAGTAAATTACCAAAAATCATCATAGGCGGGTTAAAATGGGGGCTGTGGGGTAAATAATGTAAACACAGTTTTGCCCCTACATTTGAGGTTCTCTGACTCTTCTCCTTCAAAAGTAGTAGCATCAAGTGAAGATATGAAAAAAAAGTAGCAATTAAATTACAAACACGGAAATTATCTCGAGTTCTTCTGGTTTGCTGAGTCGCTGATTACGAATATGAAATCTAAAATCTGTAACACGGGAAACTGAAATGGTAGAATTACTTGCATGATTTTGTAAATATTACATGCCATTATCCTATAATATTTCCTGAAGCTGAAGAAAAATATTTTTGTTATCTTTATTTAATCATATACCAGTAACAAAAATGATGTTTGTAAGACATTTTTCCGTGTAATTTGTGCAACACTAACCATTTATGGAAATGACGCTTAATTAATGAAGAAATCCACAAGTTTGGAGGATTATATAACTTTAGTAGTCCCACAGGGTTGTGTTCCTGGTCCACTACTATTTATTTAACATCTGTTTATCCCTGGATACCTAATATTTTGTGTCTGACATTTTACAGAATTAGAAAACCGACTGCTGAGTAAGATCACAAAATGTGTACCACTTTTTCTTCAAACCGGAAGAAAACTGAAGAACTGGAACAACAAAGGAGAGAAGGGGAGATAGATATGTCTCGGGATGGTTAAAATCTTACATTTTCCAGTATTAACGTTTCCTATCGATGAGGGCAATTGACAATCTCCTTTTTCTGGTGTAAGTGGTTACTTGATTAACTACAGTTTCTAATATTTGTGCTTTGCGCTTATCACATGACGAGTCTTGGTAAATATACTCAACGAATAACGAAGTTATCGGTATAAAACCTACAATTATCACATTCACGTTTGGTATGTAGACATAAATATTAAAAAAAAACATTCGAGTTTAATGTACAGGCAATTATTGGTTGCGTTATTGAGATGTATAGTAGGGGAATATAAACATTATTTTCCCGAGATATTTCATGCAACACATGTGTGGAATTTACATCGATTGTTTCTGGAATATATTTTTTTTGTATACGGGGTGTAAATAAGTAAGTGCCAAAAAGTTAACGACGAAATATTTTATTTTTTTCGACAGGTTGATCCAAGATTCCTGAAGAATATTCAATTAAAAATAATATTTTTATAGGATATTTGGATGTTTAAAAATAGGTTAAATATTAACAAGATTTTTTATATACAGGCTGTTACAAATTCGCTTCTCACTACAGGGAAGTAGCTTAAATGGGGGCAAAGTAGCGTAATCAAGGGTCCAACATTATGCCTCTAAAAAATCATGGCTAACATGATTAATTTTCGAAATATTTGAAAAAAAAAACGAAATTTTGGAAATCCGTTTTTGTTTAGTTTCAGCCTTATTTGAGGTGATATTGAAAAAAGAAGAACACTTTCTCATGGCCAATTTTTGCCCTCTATCGAATGGCATAATCAATTTTTATATGTAACGTTTCGTCTCTCCAGGACCATCATCAACTTCATTTTTTTAAATACGACCCTAGAAATTTTATTACATTTTTTGCAATCCTTCATTACCTCCAGTACTGTACTGCCTCAACCCGGACCAGATTCAGACATTTTGTCTCGAAAAATTCATCTTCAGTGTATTCGTTCCAAATTTATCTAAATTCCTTATTTAGATTTCTTTTAATAATGGTGGTCATGAAGGCTTACAAAAAAGATAATAAAATTTCTAGAGTAGTATTTAAAAAAATGAAGTTGATAATGGTCCTGGTGAGACGAAACGTTACATATAAAAATTGATTTTGCGATAGAGGACAAAAAGTGGCCATGAGAAAGTGTCCTTCTTTTTTCAATATCACCTCAAATAAGGCCGGAATGAAACAAAAACGGATTTCCAAAATTTCGTTTTTTTTTCAATTATTTCGAAAACTAATCACGTTAGCCTTGATTTTTTAGAGGCATAATATTGGTCCCCTGAATACGCAACTTTGCCCCCATTTAAGCTACTTCGTATCTCTTACCGTTTCCGAGATCCCTGTAGTGAGAAGCGAATTTGTAACAGCCTGTATAAATATAAACTGTAAGTATCTAAAATTCTAAATGTAATTCATTTGAAATTTTAAATGCAATCGCTTGAAATACGACAGAAAAGTTTCCTTGTTTCCTAGATTAAACTCCTGTACATACCATTTAAATTTCAATCAGCCTCTATGTTTTCCTCTATTGCAGAATTTATGACGTTCTAAACTATGAAAGCGGCAAAAATTGAAGTGCTTTTCGCATAACTCTGTTCTTTATATGATTCTTATTCATTTTTATGAGGAAATGGATATACACAAAGCAGT